AAAGTTTGGTGTCATCGGCGAACTTGGCCAGTCCGCTTCTGACTCCAATGTCCACATCATTAATGAAGATGTTGAACAGTATGGGTCCAAAGACAGAGCCTTGGGGGACCCCACTGGTCACAGGGCACCACGACAATTGACTTCCGTCAACCACCACCCTCTGGGTTCGACCGTGGAGCCAATTCCCCAGCCAGTGGATCGTGGTGGACCCAAGGCCACAATTAGTCAGTTTTGCCAAGAGGTGATCATGGGATACCAGATCGAAGGCTTTTTTGAAGTCAAGATATATGACATCAATCTCTTCTCCCTTGTCCAGGTGATAGGTCACCTGGTCTTAGAAGGAAATGAGATTGGCCAAGCAAGAGCTACCCGCAACAAACCAATGCTGGCTATCTCTCAGGATGTTGTTGTTTTTTTGTTGTTTTTTTAAAACAAATTGATAAATAGTTTAGAGAGAAAATGTTTTGTTTTGTGTGGGGGTTGGTTTTGGCCCTCCTTCCAATATCAGATTTTAAAAAATATGCCTTCATTTTTACTGAGTTAACTTAAAAACATATCTGTTGGATTGTGGCTAGAACCTGTTAAAAGTTTGAAGTAGCTGCACATCATAAAAGAAAGTATAAAAATAGAAAGGAAAGTTGAACTATTTCTCATTCCCCTCCCCACCACTTTTTATTTGTATGATAAATGCTAGTTTGGTGGGAGGGGTGGTTCAAAAATAATGTGGTCAAAACATACCAAGGTGCCACTGGATTTGGATTTCTTCATCATTCTTTTTCTATAGGAAGAATGTAGCTTTGTTCCATGAGTTGCCCAAACATTTATAAATTAACAACCATTTGACAGATCTGAACTATATGAATACTTTCTTCTAATTACCTTGACACCCTGCACAGAAATGTTTTAAAATTAATGTATACATTTAAAAACATTCTTAATGTATTATTTTTCTGAAATAGTTGCATTGTTTAAAAATCATTTTAATTTAGGCTTGCACTTCTCAAGATTTTGCCATCTATTATATATGTATAGGGTCTTCATAAAGTCCTTGTGCACAACCTAAGTTATTAAAGTGCACAAGGACTTTATGAAGACCCTGTATATGCTTACAATTGTGCATCAAATTTTACTGGGTACATACAACAGTTAATGACAGAGCATCCATTTCTTCATTTGCATAAAGCTTTATTTTTTTTTATGTTGACAGCTTGGCAGCTACAATAATTCAGTCATATTGGCGAGGTTATGTAATTCGCAGAGATATTCATTTCTACACTAGACTACATATAGCAGCAACAGTGATTCAGTCTATTTGGCGGAGGTACCAAACCAGGAGAAAAACTTCCCTCCACAAAAAAAAATGTAATCAAGTCTCATACACAACAGAACAAAAGAATAGAGCTGCCACTCTTATTCAGGTTCGTTTGCTATTGTGTTGTTTATTTGGCTTCAGTTAGCTTAGTAGGAAGAATCTGATTACCTGTGTTTATAAATGATGTTCTTCCTTTGTTTGGGGGGAGGGGGCGGTTGTGGAGAAGAGTTGTTTAAACAAGCAACTGATGATTCTAGCAGAAAGGGGTTTTTTTTCCCTCCATAATATCCCGTATAATCCATAAAGTAGGAAAAAATGTATGCCTTATGTCAAACGTTATTCCCTTGTATTAGTCAAGACTTGATTTTACTTTATTGGTTCAATCTGAACTAAACATTGTTATGTATCATCTATGGACTGTTACAAAAGTTCTAGTTTTTAAATTAAAGGGACACTTTCAGGATTTTCAACCTTTAGATAACCTATTCTGAACGTTGTTCTATAATGTAGATCTCTTGTAAAAATGTCAGAAGCATGAAAATGACATTGGAGCATAAATACCATTTTTAAAAATCACGTAGGCACTGTAGAACCTAAATCTCATTTATAGTCGAAAGACTTCAGTCACTTTTGAAAGTTTTGTCCCTTGCCAATGTGTAATTTTATACTGTGTAAGTTGTTCAAGAAGACTTGTTTTCTGGGAGTGTAATATGTGAGAAGCAGACAAATAATGGCATAAAGAAGGATTTATCTTCTCCCTAAAGTCTAGAGATGTGACAATTGGAGCAGAAGTCACTTTCGTATGAGGCCTGTCATTTCTTGTCACTGGAGGAGTAGAGTAGATAAGATGATAACCTAATCTAACTTAAATCCAGCCAATCTAAACTGGTGTATAGTATGCCAGGAGGCAGTGCCATTACTGTTGTTGTATAATATGAACACATAAAAATATAAACAATAATATTTGCATTGAAAGGTTGGAGGTTTTGTTACTCTTTGTATGGACACTGTGCCTCTTTATTTTCCCTGTTCACAGTGGTTAAAGGCCAGCAGAGTACCCAATTGGAAAGCAGCTCTTCAATCTTGACATTTTCATTATGTTTATGATCAGCCATTACAGTTTGTGACAGCCTACTGTAAATTATGAGGCAGAGAAAATACAGTGCTATTATTTGCACATACTTATTGGCAGAGAGAAGGAAATAGCAATATCCTTAGTAATCTATACATTGTAGAACTCTGTGAGCAAGGAAAGTTGCTGTCCAAGTTCTAACAAAATCTGTCATAAAACAGGAATTTTCCTTTAAACCCATGCTATATATAAATACAGTAATAAAAATAACATCACTGTGTATAATAGTGCCTTTTATCCTAAAATACTCCATAGGTCTTTACATGTGTTCCTAATATCTTTTATTCTTTTTGCAATACTTAAGTTCTTATACTTCTGGTTTATGTTCCTTTTCAACATAGAAACTTCTACTATCACTACTACAAAAATTGTTTTGTTTTGGTTTTTTTAATGGACCAGACTGTAAGTGTGAAGATGAGGGTGACTGGCCTAAGTTAATTGCATGAAATGGCTGCAGGAATTATCACTAGTAACTGGTAGAAATTTGGTGCAAGTGTATTTTTGTGTTCTCAGTAATTGGAAAGTTAACATTCAAGCTTCTTTTTAATATTGTCTTCCTCCTCAGTTTATAATAGGCCCTGAAGGAATTGTGAAATAATTAATTAGTTGACCTACTTTTGTAGTTGAGCGAGTTTCAGGATTCCATTCTGCTTGCTTGAGGAGAGCCTCTTGAGTATTCTAAGCTGTAGACATATGCCGGCATTTAATTTGTCTTGTAGTTTTAAATGTCACATAAAGTTCAAAAAACAGATCATTGAGCCATTAAACCAAGGTCTAAGATGTTTTATCTTCCTAATGGGATAACAGAGAGAATCTGGATTTGGGTTTGATCTATGGCATTGTATAACATGCTTTAAATTTTTTGCTTAGGCATTTTGGAAGGGTTTCCTTCTGAGGAAGAAACTGGCCAGTGCTCTTGCTGCTGTTAAAAGTGCTGAAGTGGAGGATGACTATGAAGAAGTAAATGTGGATGATTTTACATTTGATGAAGTAAGCGTCATTGTTAATATAAAACTTTCGTAAAAAATGCAGTTATTTTAAAGCTGTCCTGTGGGTGTTAAAAAGAAAACAAACAACATAAGACATGAGAATTATACGATGAACATTATAATTATATGTTGGATATTCTATATAACCAGAGGAAAAGGAGCATTTGGTTTATATAATTTATTTAAATGTATTTATCATGGATTAATGGTTTCCTGCTCTTTGAGATGTTCCAGTAGCTACTACACTATTAATGTCACACCCAAACTGAAGTTCCATCTATTTCTAGAGTCTGGGAACAAAAAATGGGTAAGACAAGTGACTATTTTTACTAGAAAAAATATAAAATTTCTAATATTACGGTTTATAGTGTATGGAATATAAGGTACAGCATCATAGTTCCAAAAATGTTACAAAATCACAACTTTGAAGAAAAGACAAATTAACCTGACCCTGCTGTCATCAGGGATTCCAGTGATCCAATAAGCATGGTATCATTAGTATAATGATTATTAGTCTGTTTAGCAGTTATGTAGACATGAAACTGTTGGATATAAACTTGTTAAAGGAAGAACAACATATTTGTTTATTTTTTAACAAACCTGGATGCCAAAGACATGCACACAAACAAGAGGTGCAGGCACTAGGGTTGCTTAGTAGCTACCTAACTTCTGTATTCAGGAAAATGACTCAAGGCATCAGGATTTTTAGTACAAGAATAATTTAAGAAGAAAGTAATAGTGGGTGCATCTACACGTGCATTAATGCACCTTTTCTCATGTGCATTAAATTTAGTGCCTCCAGTGTGAGGGCACTTTTACACAGGGCAGGTTTGATTTAAATCAAATAGATTTAAGTCATGGTTTAAATCACTGGTCAGGAAGCCTTGATTTTAATCAGACAAGGTTCTTTGGGTAAATCTGATATTTTTTTTATTATATCAACTAAATATTTGGAAAAATTTTTCTTAGCAAGCTTTCGTGTTTAAAAACCCTTCGTCAGGCTGAGGAAGCAGCTGCAATTGGTATGTGCTCTTCCTGGATGGAATGAATAGTAAAGAAAGCAGAGACTGGTATGCATACAAGAAAGCCAATCAATAAAAATGTAAATTGAGGAGTCAGTAGGTGAGAGACAAGCTGGTGGGGTGGGGGAAGGGGGATGAATGTAGCAGGTAAGTAGTGGAGAGGTACCTGAGGATTCGGATGTCAGGCAGGTAATAATATCTCATAAATCCAATGTCTATATATTGTCCATGATTTTTTGTATCCAGGAGGTTGATGCAGTGAAGTTCGTAAGCTTGTCTGTGAAAAGTGTTTTGTAAATTCCCTTTGAGGATTAGAACTAAGAGACTGGAGAGAGAGAGTGGTTTTCTTGTGAGAAATGTGTCCCCACTGGTGGGCTAGGCCCTCCAAAACGCTTCTCAGTTGGCCAGTCAAATTTTAGCAACAATCAGTATTTGTCACTATCTGTGTATTACACTTAAGAGTCTGAGAGTATAAACAAACACTTAAAAAGAAGAATAAGAGACAGTCCTATCAACAGCATGTTTGGCTTTATGAGACTCGTAATACAAGGCACAACCGAAGGTTGTCAAGACTTCTGACTGATACAGTATCCTTGCAATCTGTCCATTTTTATGAAAAGACAATCCTCGATCATAGTGATAGGAGTATCTTTGGTGTCTTTTATCCCTTTTAAGAATAACACACAGAACAAGAATAAGCATAGAGGAGTCCAGAAATTTTGGAACCCGACAATTTTTAAAGGGACTCTTCACATCTAGAATATGTATGGTTCAGCATAGAATGAGTATACAACACTAGCTGGAAATTACCTATTCTGCTACTTATATATCCTATATTTCTTTCTTCCCTTGCTGCTTTTCCATTTTCAAAGGAGAAAATGTGTCAGAGAAAGGAAACAGGAGGGAAAAGCCACTTTATATAAAGTGTGATTGACAAATATTTGCCACCTTGTTTCCTGTTAACTAATGCAAACCTTGTCAGAAAGGATTTCTAAGAATGCTGAGGAAATAAGAAGTATATGGCAAATCCACAATTTCAGCGCCATGTGATATAGATATATTTGGAAGATTTTAGTAATTTATTTTTCAGGTAACAGTGCTTCCTTTGGCATTTTTTTTAATTATTAGCTGCATTGCATTTCTTAATATTATGATCTTTGGATACTAAATATACTTATGAATTTTGTAGAGAAACTAGCTATCAAAGAGAAAAAAAAACTATATTTGGAAAACTTTATTTTATAATGTTGGTCTTCCCCTTCAGTTATTGTTATCCTAAATATAAACATTATTTTAAAGCAACAAATTAATTAGTAATAAAAAAATTGAACCCTATGCTTAGGTCAGAAGTTGTTCCTGTGTTCCAAACTAAAAAGATTTCATGATCCAAGCTACAAGCAATTAGATATATAAGGGTCTGTCTGTGGAGAAAACTAGTACTTCACTTTCCTCCTAGGTTCCTCTAATAATACTGATACTAAAGTCATGTATAACACTGACTTAATTTACCACCCCCTCTCAGAGAGCATGGAAGTTGATATTGATATAGAAGTGCAATTTCTTGGGGAAAAAACGTTTCTAAGCAGAACAGTATGACCCAAAGTTCTTGACTCTTTAGAAGCAAACTATATATAACGCCTCTAGGCTGTCTGCTGGGAAAGATTAACTAGGCCCCACGTTACCTCATCTTGTATGTAAAGTTCTTAGAAATGCCATGATAAATTTATAAGAGTAAAGATTATGATGAGTGTAGATGAGGGTTAAATGGGACCTCTGTGTAATTGATGGCAGGCAACTGAAACGAGACATTTAATGTAGAATATCTTAGAAAGATGTATAAAAATAAGTATTCTAGGCACAGCATTTCTTGTTTTTGATATACAGAAATATTCAGAAGAATTAATATAAATAGACTTTGCAGTAGTAGTAGGGGAGCACATATCACAACAGTGGCCAAACCATGGCTTGTGACCTGCATGTGGCTCTCTGGCATGGTACTTGCAGCTCTCCAGAGCCAAAGCCCTGCCCACTTCTCTGCTCTGGGACAGCTGGCTCAGGTGCTGGGCTGCCGAGGTGGGGGCTGCAGCTGCATCGCTTACCATGGGGCGCACTCCCCAAAGGAAAAGCCCGTGTGACAAAATGAAGCAAAGGGCTTTGAAACAGCTTCGAAACATAATGAAGCTAGTCAAAACGTTTCAAAGCTTTCAAAATGTTTCAGGTTTTGAAGCACCCAGGTGGTGGGAGACGGGAGAACCAGGACTGCGCTCCCAGTGGCTCCAGGCTCAGCCAGGAGGGGAGCGCAGCCCTGGCTCTCCCTGCCTCCCACGGCTAGGGTGCAGGAAGCCAATCACAGCACAGGGAAAGGGAACTGAGCCCTGCTTAGTTCCCCTCCCCAGCGCTGCAGTCAGGCTGGAGAAGGGAACTGAGAGGGATCGCTCAGTTTCCCTTCCCAGGCATACGATCGGTCTGGGAAAGGCAACTCATCCCAGCTGGGCTGGATTCTCAACCCCAGCACGACCATGCACTGGGGAAACGAACTGAGCCCAGCTGGGCTGACTTCCCATTCCCAGCCCGATCTAGTACTGGGGAGAGGAATTGAGCAATCAGGCTCAGTTCCCTTGCCCAGTCCCAGGTGGCAGCACTGGCTTCCTTCTCTTATCTGGCAGGCAGATTGGGGTCCTCAGCCCCGGGAGTACTGGCACAGCCCAACAGGCCTCCTGGGGTTGGGACCCAATTTGCCTGTCAGATGAGAGAGGCTGTTATGAGTTTCCCCATTATAGCCAATGGGAGAAACATCGAAACAGCTTTAAATTTGATGAAGCAAAATGGAACAGCTGTTTCAATTTGAAATTAAATTCGAAACAAAATGCTGTTCTGTCCAAACCTCAAAACTCAAGTCAAAATGGAACAGTGCCATTGCGCACAGCCCTACTAATTAGGGGTGTGCGAAATGGGCCATATTTGATTTGGATTTGGATTCAGCCCAAATCGGGGGACAGTGATTCAATTAGTTGATTTGAATCACTGTCCCGATTCGATTTGGCCGAATCTGAAGATTCAGTGCTGATTCAGAGAATTAACAATTTGGCCATAGACACTGCTTCACATGTCTTTTCTATATACCTCAAGGTACCAGGCGTGGCTTGTGAATGCTGTGATGGTGGGGCAGATGGAGCATCCTACAGGAGCACGGGGGACCTCCCCGTGTACTCACAACAGACTTGGAAGTGGACCGGAAGTACTTCTGGTCCACTTCTGGGTCTGCTGCCGAGCGCGCAGGCCCCCCCTCCCCCATGTCCCCCTGGCTCAGCAGTTGGCTGTGGGGGGACCCCAGGTGCCCCCCCAGACCCAGGAGGCACCAGTTGTTGAGCCGGAGGATGAGGGCGGCGGTCCCCTGCATGCTCAATGGTGGACCTGGAAGTGGACCAGAAGTGCTTCTGGTCCACTTCTGAATCCAGCGCAGAGCGTGCTGGAGAGCCCCCCGTGCTCCTGTGGGATGCTCCATCTGCCCCAGTATCTCAGCATTCACAAGCCGCCTGGTACTTTGAGGTATGTAGAAAAAACATTTAAAGCTGTGTCTATTTCTGAATCATGGAATCTCTCCGAATCAATTTGGAGGGTTCTGATTTGATTCGAAGAAATTAAAGGGTCTCCTGATTTGATCTGGATTCAGAGATTCAGCCGCCAAATCAGGCCAAATCTCCACCAAATCGAATCAGCAACTGAAGCTTCACACAGCCCCAGTATTAATCTTATGAGAAGTAGTGGAATCATCTCATTCTCCTTATTTTACATTATGGTGAAGTTTTAACAGTGGGCACATCATTACTCAAACATGAATGTCCATGGAAAAGCCATGTAAGTTTATGGATTCAACTGTCGTCAGTTCTTTCCTTCTGTATGAAATCATGAGAAAGGCTGATAAGTGAAGCTACAGTGTTGGAAAATGTGGATGTTCATTGAACTTGGAATTCCACTTACAGGTAAATAGCCCATATACACACTTAG